GACTTAATAAAGGATAAAGTTCAATCACGTCAGATAACTTTTAGAATAAGTGATAAATATTTCTAAAGAATATTAATGAAAAAGTGACCTTGGGGATAAAGTAAGATCTAAGGTCAGTAAAACACTTCGCTCAGATGCCATATTTTATGAATTTGTCCACACGATATCACTTTTCTAACAAAACCATTGTACTGAAAAATTTATTACATTTTTTGGTAAAACGATATGCCTCCAAAGTCACGTTTGCTGTTACTACCGCATAAACGTGCTGATGATGATATACTGTAATGTATGCATTCGTTCGGGTTATCAAAACATATATGGTCACGAAGACAGTATGGAACTATAAACTTTAATTATTTTCTATCGATCCACCGGTTAAAACCCCGAGAATATTATATGTTTGTTTCTCCTGGGTAATATAGTCCCAGACTTTGTCTAACTTTATTAATTATTTCATGCATGCTCAAGAGTAATATGTTCCTGAACTAAAAACGAGCTTTTACAATATATATTTAGATGAGCCTACAACAAATCATTTTCCCATTTAAAAAATGCACCTCGATCTGCTACCTATGATAAAATTATTGCTTTTGATACAAATGTTTTGCCGAGATAATTGACCCGCCAAGTTAAGCCAAAATGGACATTTCAAAAAAAAAAAAAAAAAAAAAAAAAAAAAAAATCCAAGACCTGTTGCTAATTAAAGAATGTACATTTGTATATCTTAAACTTCCTATGGTGCTAGATTTCGTTTGCTTGGGCCGATATTGGTAATTCTCTTGGTCATTGAAAATTCAACCAATCTAGGAATTTTGATGCCAGGGCAAACCTTCAAAGATAAGTAATACGAAACCGAACATTGGATTTGACAATATTAACTAAAGTTTTCCCTATCTATAGAGAAGATACCCTTTTTAACAAGTGAGTAAAATGTAAAAATTATTTTCTGATATTGTAGTACTACATAGTATATGTATGTACAATATATGGCATTTTGGTCCATTGACGGTTCTATATAAGGCTTAATGAAATTGAATTTACAGGTTTAACAAGGATATGGGTGATGTAATCTTTTAACATAAAGTCCAACTGATTTTCTTGACAATGCTTTGAAATAATTTTCTTCAGAGAAAAACTGTGTTCATAAATTTACATGTATGTATTTTTGTAGACCATTATCAATATTTTCTGTTTTTTTTTTAACGGGCCAGGGAACATTAACAAACTAAAATAAAAATTTCTCATGCCGTGTTTCTAATAAAAGTTGTATTCATGGCGGATTAGTTTACAATGTAATATGTATAATGATGACATCAATAGGACAACATGTTGATGAAAAATAAATATTTCATGACAAACACTGTAGCGCACTGTTTATTAAATGATAACTTGCCGACCTGTTTTATTGTTAACCGGCTGCGATGTTTTGATTATGTAATATTGTACAAATGGGACAAATTTGATTAATGAAAAGTTTCATTAAATAGCCTTAACTCAAATGTGTAATCAACGCCCAAACCCCATGCAAGATTAGATTATAGTCCAAATAAAAAAGAGAATCGACCGAACGCGCCATCTTCCCACTAAGCCACCAGCGATGCGAAGCGTCGATTTGCTCAGGTACGCATGGCTCGTTTCTAGTTTACTATGATAATGTTTCTGAATGGGGTTACCAGGTGAATTACTCTTCTCTAAAGAAGTGTCGAGGGATCTTAATATTTGGTTCTTGCATGTCCGCTTAAGCAGTTAAGTCCGATATTGTATAACTAAAAACATCCCAGGCAAATTTATTAGCTCGGGATGTAGGTGAAATTGACTAGGCGACCCTTCAGGTGAAATTCTGTCATTCTCGAGTCATATTTCATGGAGTAAGAGATACACGATTTTTTTCTGGAATATACATCAGCAGGAATATTAGTTCCAACGAAAAGTGATGTTTGTTTCATGCGTATCATGTAAGTTGTTTTATTGCTTTACTTAGTTTTGTAAACTGCACGCACCGTCATTTTTCTTAACATCGATTTCTGTATAATTGCATGTTGAATGACTTCCTCGATAGTTTCAATTTGCTCATGTAATATTTTGTGTAATTGGTTTATTGAGGAAGATTTGTTCGGGTGGGTTTTACGGCTATTGTTATTTAACAGATAAAATCATATCAATATAGCGTAAAACAGTGATAGTGTATTGGGCCCCCAATGGTCCATTTTCAGTTTTTGCTGAAGTAAATGTATGTCTCTCATAATGGCTTTTCAAGTGAAGACGACATTTTAAGCACAATTATTCATGTCTCGATGAAATTTTTAATATCGAGACAAGCCAAGGTAATTTCTGTATGGACCTATGAGAACTCTTAATTACATTTAATGAATACACTAATTGCAGATTTAATTACTGTTACGTTGTAAATCTTATCCCAAAATGTACACCTATTGTCATGCAAAAAAAGAAATTCTTGTTGGGTCATTCAATAAGCTGTGTAGGGCAACAGTCGGTATGGGAAACCCTTGTATATATTGTCAGTCTGGAGTCTTTTGTCGCGTTCGTAATTATTTGTTTGGAGGCATTCGCTTTATTTTACAATGACCCTAATCTTACTCGGATCCATTTTAAAGAACATTCTTGTTCCTTTTATCATTTGACCTCCGATATAGAAAAGAAGACGGGCGGGTCATCTTGCAGCCCAATTGCTTCAGCGATCATGGTTATTCGAAGATTAAGCCATTGGCCTCCTGAAAATGATAGTGCTTAATTTAACAATTATATGTTTTTGTATTCGCTTTGAGCTTATAATAGACTGCCATTAAAATACAATCAATATCCTTTCAGCTTAAATGTAAATATTTTTACTTTGTCTGAAAAGAAAGAAAATCCTTTGGAAATAAAACATCTGAAAAGTATGTATATATTATTTAAGGTTCAGAAACATTCATTCATGTATTGTAAATTCTTACTAAGTATGCATTATCTTGTTCACATAAAGGTAACTTGTACGATATATTTTTATCAATCACCAGCAAACCGTTCTATGAATTATTCACAAGATGATAATTATGCTTACGCAAGGACAATACACATATGAATTAATGCCAAAAAATAAGGTGCTAACAACATATTGACTCCAGAGCCTTTTTATCAAGTCCCCTGTGGAGTGAGATTTATATCTTTATGTGGTCGGCCTCTCCAAAGTCTCTCTTCCATTATCTACCTTATTTGTTTATTTTCATTAAAGTAGCAAAGTTGTCGTAAATTAAACCAACAATAATGTAAATATTTGTATGAGGTGCGTCCACCTATTTCTATATGCTACTTAATTCGTTTATAAACATACGAGTAACACCTTGATTACGTTAACTCATGTTCTACGTAAATGTATGTAATACCCAGAGAGCTGGTAGACGACCCATCCCGTCTAGGGTAGATAAAAACTAACGTCATATACTTTCCATCATTACAATTTACATGTTGACATTGGTTTCACTGGTCGAAGTTGGATTCTTTTTTTTTCTTTTTTTTTTTTTAAATCAAAGCAGTTTTTTTTTAAAAAAAAATTGAATGTAAAAAAGAGAAAAGATCGAAATCTAAATCAAGCTAATATATATTAATCTCAATACATTAATCAAGGCATACATTAATCAAATTCGATTAAACATTTCATATCTTGTGTCATAATAGAAAGAATGAAATACATGTACATAAAAGGAAAAATTTTAAAAGCCATACATGAATACATTTTTTTTGTCTGTTAGATTTAAAGAACCATAATGTTATCAAACAGCAATGCATTTGTAGCAGAAAAGGAACTCTTCTACCAATTAATGAATGTGTAAAATGTTTTACAACTGAAATCGACCCCTACCGAGAGCTTTATGAGGTAGACAGAATGCAGGAATTTTGAGCACAACTCTTACCTCTTACCAAGTTAAATGAAAATACCATACCATCTCGATTATTGACAAAACTTAACATGAATATGGAAAACCGAGGACGCCTGAATCCATATTTGTATAACCCTTAACTTCAGCAATATATCCGTGTAATAAATTTCTTATGATAGGCAATACAAGGAGGAACTTAGTTTCTGATTTAATTTTGTTTTTCAGTTAAGAAAAATACATGATCTTGTTTGCAAGTCAATAAAAGGAGAAAGAGATATTTAAGAGATAAATAAAAGGCTGTACATAGCTATAACAAAAGGAATATGATCGAATGGTTTAATATAAAAAAGGAAAATATACACAGAAATTCCTCATCACGGTGAATATCCGAAAGTTACGGTCTTACGACAAAGTTAATGACCTTATTCCGGAAACTATTTGCATTCTGTTTATATAAATGTGCCCTTACAGGTTCTAAAGAAAATCTGCATAATATCATGAACGTCAAGTAAATCTAACAAGCAATTTATCAACAAGTACCGAGTGGCGATTTTAACTAGAAATTGCATTTTTCTTATCAATTGCAGTTATGCTCTTCATAGGAAAGGTGCAAAAACATCACATAAACCATCAATCATATACCAGCAAGGTTTCTCGTCAAAATAACTATGAATTTTATTTTAAAATGTAACCATAATGGCCTAAATATGTTAAAATAAAGGCAATCTGAAGGTGTGTGGTATAAAAATTCCAACATTCTTCATGCTTGTCTAGTCCTGCTACGTGCAGTCCATGATGATAAGTTTTATGTCTTGTCAAAAGCATTTCTTACACTAATAAATTGAGTGTTGAAGTGGAAATTGTAATAATCTGGAACTATGGATAATTCTGAATGATGTTCAGTTGTTTCGGAGCATATTTTTATCCCCATTTTCGCTTCATTATGACTCTATTGATTTTTGTTACAAAACTTTTTTTTCCTATTCCGTCTCCTCACATCTGTTGCCACGGTATCCCCAGATACATGTACATCTAACTTGTGATCATTTGTTCACTATATCCATACATCATCACATCATTCAACCAATTTTCTTTACCGCGATTTTTTCTTTTTTCTAGAGACTGACATAATAGTAAACCATGAACACGAATGAATTGATCGCCATAGTGGGAGGATCTTTAGCAGGGCTGGTTGTGATTTTGATAATTTTGGCGGTCATTATCTACTGTGCTTGTGGGTAAGTACTAGTACATGTACAAACGCGACCGGTTTCAAAAGCTGCATAAATGTGTTAATGTTCTTTAATATAGTGATGCCCTTAAACTAGCATTTAAAAAAAAAAAAAAAAAAAAATAATTTTAATTAAAGTTCCATATAAACAAAAACATTGTTTTTCTTGAAGATATATGGTAATATATATTGTTCCTTTGAATATTTGACGTATAAGAGTTTCGGCGGTTTCTCTATTCTTTCTGCTTGGTTTTGCTTCATTGAATACATTCTTGAAAACATCATTTATTTTCCTTTTCAAAATAATAAGACCATTAAGGGAACATTTACGACAGGATTTTTAAAAGAAAGATTTCTTGAATATGCTAAAATTTGAAGAAAAGGAAACAAAATTTATGAAATTAGCAACGTAATCAAAATTGAGAAGAAAAAAAATTCAGTTCCCATGGAAAGTTATCCCTTTCTGAGTTCAAAGTTAAAAATTCCCTATCATATCAATTATTATTTTGAAGTACTACATATTAATATTTTTTGTCTGTTATAAAAAATCAGAGGATAAATCTGAAATGAAATAAGTATCAAGAATGTGTTAGATATGTCTATTGAAAGTTAATAAGTTAATAGCTAGGACCAATATAGGTCTATCTTGCCATACATAATCTTAAAATTAGTTTACAAATAGTTCCACGGTTCCCAGATATAGAATTACAGACGTATATCTAGTGAAATTGATCAATGCATTCATTAGTATAGTACTGCATAACCGTTGATAAGATTGATACAATTAATATTCAGTATTCAAAAGTTTTGTATGTTTTCTGCTTATGCATTTTAATCTTCACTTTATCCCTTAATGTGAAATTAAAGAGTAAACTTTTGATGCATAAGTAAGCCTAGTTTTGAACAAAAGATTGAAACTAGACCTATCTTAAATTCTTTAACCCAGTTGTCTTTATCTGAGTTCTTGAGTGCGCACTTTAATGGCCTGTAATACTCCAAAATCTTACTGAATCGTCTACAGAAACTTGTGACCTTCGAATTTATTCTCTCTATCGGTACACTTTTTAAAAATGAAAACTTAGAAGTCCTGTCACCACTTATTCTACGATAAACGATAATAATTTTCAAGAAGAACAAATGCAATTTCGTCTGAATGCTTGTTTACAAAAATAAATGTGTTATTGATGAGAATAATTTCTGGTTAGGAATTTTCTCGTCCAATTAAGAACATGTTCTACACACACCTACTGTGACATGTTATGTGTGCTGTATCAAAGTTCATAACACTGTCTTATTCATAACTTTTCCACATTTTTGAATAACACAACATTAATAATGTTAGATGTACATTTAGGATCTCGTGACAAATTTATGGCGACAACCTTTCTGTTGCTTAATCTATTGCTGTTAAAATGGTAATAAAGTAAGTAGTGATGGAGTGGAAAGAAGACGAAATAGCTTTGCAGTACAGAGTCTAAAAAGATAAGCATGCATGCGTTAGAATTTAATTTTAAAAAATACAACCCTAATGAATCAAGCCAAAAAAAGTTTCAAAAGCAAATAATGAATTTTTCAGAAAATGTTTCTAGCTTGTTATAACATTTTTTTTCTTGTATGTGCATGTATCGCTTAAGTAAAACACAATTTTCCCTCCGGTAACGTATTTGTAGCAATGTACGTATAAGTTTCAGATGGATATCGTTAAAAAGCAAGGCTTCTAGTTTTCCGAATGGATGATAATCAAATTTGTTCAGCCGACATTGTCGTCGTAGCCCAAAGGAACAAGATTGTGGCGAACACCGACGCCTGATTTCTTACACATTACTGTGAATAATTTCAACCAAAGCGTTGCCCCTTGTTGAACTCCTTACGAATGATAAAATCAGCAGAAACTCACAGTCCTTAAAGATGACACAATAGATATTAAATTAACAACGCTTGTTGATGTTAATCTTCATTTATCCAACACCACTATGAAATAGATAAGAGCAATTTTCGAGTTTAATGCAAGAATCATAATTTATCAGGAAGATCCCCAATCCTCATAGCATAAAATAATCTCCCTCTAAAATTTTATACCTTAAATCTTACCAAATTCATTTTTTAAAAAAACATAATTTCGTTTTTATTTAAGAAAAAGGAGAAGACACGAGGAAAAACATCGCCGATTACCAAACAGCATTAGTCAAGATACAAGCTTAAGCAAAAGCAGCAAATATGGCAACGGAATGGATCCGCGAATGGAGCCTCCTCCTGACCCAAGACTACCAAAGGTGGGGAGTAATGGTCTATGGATGGGGGCCCCTTCGATGTATACCTCCGGGAAGCCCCAGATGTATTACAACGACAACCAGAGAAGGCATCAACCCGCTGTTCAGCGGGCCATATCGGAGGACAGGCTGTCACCACGTAAGTCGTAAAACGGGAGAAATTTAATATCTATAAAGAAATTAATATTTACTGTCTGTGCGCATCTGTCCTTACATAATCCTAAGAAAAGTTATAATATATAATTTCTTTCATTAACAGTACTAAACTACACGTATTCAAATGCTTCACAGAATAAACGTTAACAAATGAAATAGCTAAATCTTACATACATATGAATACAAATGTATCTAATGCTAGAATTTACATCAGCAGCACACATTGACCTTTGTATTGATTACAGTAGTAAAATACTGTATGACAGCCACCATTGTGACTACAATACACAATTTCTGATTTTAGATTTTTTCCCACTATCATGATGTTTTTCTTTACCTTTGTGACATAAGTGTGTCACGCCATATTACCCTTACAACTTGTTACGGACATCAACTGACCCCACACGCCCCGATACCTATCATTCACTGTCCCATTACCACCGTAACAGGTCAAATCAAGACACAGTGTTAGGTACTAGCACTGCCCATCGTGAGAAGGAAAAGATTTTATTGCCATACTGTGTTTCTTAATATAATTGAAGTGTGCAGTGTAGTTTTATTTTTTCTTACTACAAATCGCAAGAATAAAAATGTTTTTATTTTCCACTTATAAAAAAGAATTTCCTTTTAGAGCAAGTGCATGCAAGGCCCATTTATTTGATATTCTTCTTTCGTGATGAAAACGAATAACATTAAATTTAAAGTTTGTGCAAGAACAAAAAAAAAAAAAATAAAAAAATAAAAAATAAATAAATAAATAAATAAAAAAATAAACAAATAAATAAATAATAATAATGAATTATTTAATAATGATTATTAATATTATAATATTATTTTAAAAATAGATTAATAAATTTTGAAAAAGATCTTTTGATTTTAACTATAATGGCCAAAAATGAGACAAAATTCAAGATGCTTTCTGATATACGAACTATATATATTTATTATTTTAAATATTTTGAATGAAACTTTATGCTCGTAAATTGCGAAGAATTCATAAATGCTCATAACTTTAAAATATGATGTGTAATAAACAGACAATAAGTAGTAAAGAATAGAAATGCATCAATCAAAAGAAAACTAGAGTCATCATTTATAGTTTTCATAAATTTGCATACATTTGATCAATTCATGAATAAAACTATCGTGTACCATAAGAACAATTTGTATTAAATTGAATGAAAAATTGTTACATCGATTTCAACAGAACTTAGAAAATGCAATAAAGATAAGTGATGGATTTGCGATATTTAACTTTTTTCAAATGTTTATGATCGTAATTACATTTAATTACCGTATTAGGTATACAAGTTGAAAAAGAAATCGCCTCATTGTACGTGTCACTGTATTATGCAAGCATTATACATGTATGTATTTTCTCACGCTACATATATCTGACTTTTAACTATCTTAACAATACTTAATCCATTTAAAACTCGGTGTTGATGAACGGAATTTGATAATTTTCTTTTCAGAAGCATTTAATTACTGACTTTTTTTTCTGATGGATCAATTTTCGTGATTTACGAGTTCCTACAAAATTATGGAGGGTTAACATTTTTATAAACGTTAGAAAGGACAATTGTCTCTTGTGTTTCGATGAATAAAGAGATTGATGAATGCCTTCAAAATATTCTCGTATTTATGGATAAAAATCACATTTAGGGAGGATAAATATGTTGTGAAAAAGTTTTTCATATGTCATGTTCAAGTTTTTTGTAAAGTCCTTCACTTTAACCCTATTTTGACTAACCGATTTTAATAACTGCATACGACACATACGGTACACTAGCTATCAAAACTAAAAGTTAAAAAAATGTATCACATCAAGTGCGCCTTTAGGGTTAATTTAGTTCAGATCTACATGTAGATGTAGAAATATTTGACTTCGAAAGAAGGTCGAATATTTTCTACCGCAAAGAAATATCCGCTTTTGTATGCAGATTGAGGATACTATATTCTTCTTTATGTAAAACAAACAGGTTACAATCGACAGCTGTACAGACACAACAATAAGGGCCGAGAGATCCGAAGTGGTTCGCTACAAAGATACCCGTATTATGACAACTACAATTTTTATCATCGTATGTACTATAGCTGCATGGACAATGTATTTATCGTTGGTTTCAGCTGCTTTAAACACATTGAATTATACTGTGCTATTTTTAGCATTGAATACCTTATTTAAACGTATACACTCTTATCAATTTTCACCACAGCGAGTAACGCCATCTTGAAATTGCTTTTCTTAGTGAGATTATGCATTGTTTGATGTTAAACAAATTAATCCAACCGTTTTCTTCTCATTTATCGAGTTTTATTGTAGAAAGTATTAGAACATTAAAATTAATTTAGGTGTTTTTTTGTCTGCTTCACAACCTTTTTTCCATTTTGCTCAATGTACATGTACTGACATCACGGTTAAATTTGTTAACAATTTTTTCCATATCTTTTGATAAAGATACATTTTTAGTGCTTTAATTCAAATTACTTATGCAGAATGATAAATTAATTAAAACCGCATTCGAGTAGAAAATTACTGGACTTGGAAATTTTTCATTATGTTGATGTTTATGAAAAAAAATGTACGATTAAAAAAATGTATTTGCATGATTTGCACACGTTACTCACCTATTATATTTATACAAACGTTTGTGGGTAGAGTAATATCTTTAGGCACCCTCTTGTGTCTCGGGTAGATGAATATTATAGACTGGTATTAAATATGATATGAATTGCACCTGTGTTAATTGTGATTGTTATTGGTTAAGGTTGTGTCACCATACTCGTATTACATCAAATGTTTTTAGATTAAGCATATATGTTTGACTTTAGTTGAAATGTATGTAAATAATAAGCATCTTGATTCTCGTTTTAAAAAATATAACAGACTAAACAATTTTTTAAAGATAAATTATGGTTCGTTTTCGATTTGTATAGGCATTAAACAAATGTCATTTTTTCAGATTTTGATTTCATTGACAAATTAATAAAAATTGTTATCAATGATAAAATATTTAAGTTCCTTGTATAATCCCATATAGAATGTATTGATTAAGTGAAGAAAAAATACGTCCGTGTCTTTACGCATCAGATTTTAGTAATGTTAAAACTTCATATGCCTTATTCCACTTTTTCAGCCTATATGGTCTATCAAGGAAATCCACAGATTTACCACAGCCAACAAGTGACCTCTTCATATGAACCTTACGGACGTCTTCCTCGCAGTAACAGCTATATGGAGCTATATCCACCTTCACCTTATGCTGGATATCCTTCCAGTGGATATGGTGGTGTTCGAGGTGTGTTTCTTGAAAGCCTTAACTTTTTGATAGGGCAAAAATATAATATACTAGTAAATTGATTAATTAAGCATCAGCTCAAATAACAAAAAATCCATCTTGCTTCAAATTAATATTTCAAACGTATATCGTGTGATAGAGTAAGGAGAAATAATTCATTTCTTCTATATCTAATTTTCTTAAAAGCATGATTGCATGGAACACTTGGAAAAGTTTTACTTTGGTGTAAAAACTTATTTCCACTTTTAATATGCACTTTAAATACTTTTATAAATATGAATGTTTTGTTGATCCTGTTCGAAGTAAAAATATGCCAAAAAGTAATGTAAAGTAAAAGTAATATAATTTTACTTTTTAAAAAAGACTTTCTTCCACTGAGGACATTCTGTAAGTTTAATGCAGTGTTGATAATTTTTCAATTTTCATTTAACAGATGTTCTTTCTCTGGTTTGGTGTAACATCTAACGTTTTTTTTAGTTTCTAATTGGGTGTGAACTTAAGGAAGCTCTGAATTCTCATGGAATTTTTTTTTTTGGGGGGGGGGGGGTGAGAATATTATATCATATAAAGGTGTACACATTGAGTTTATCTAATTCACTCTCAACATTAGGTACCTGCCATATTTCTCCTTGAAAAATGTTCAAAGTCAAGGAAGTACAAGTGGACAGAATTCACTGTAGTTTACTAACACTGCTGAAGTAGATGCAGATTATGTGGTTAATAACTTTATGTTGATCTAATATTATGTTTTAAAACATTAATCTATTTCCAATTGTGTCATTTCCAATAGATTTCTATTTATTCTAATTTGCATCAAAGGGCAGATTACTGTTTTTGCTTAAAATTACAAGGGAGTTGAAACTCTTCTGTGAACAGTGTTTAGAGCTTCCTTAACCTTAATTTATTAATAAAATAGAAATCTTATAATTAATTGCATTGAAGGAATTTGATAATTTGATTAAATATAATACATGCATTTTTAGTCATATTTTGTGGCAGACTCGATAAAACTAGATTCAATAATGCAAATTTAATAACTGGTGTTAATAGAGAGAAATGAAAATGCACAAGACTCTCCTTAATTATTAGAACTATGACCGTTTATTTGAATTGAATTTTAACACAACTGACCACTTGTCAATAATTTCCATTTGACTCTCTGAACCTCTAGTTTTCATTCAAGTTAAGACAGATTAAACATCATAATTATAAGTCATTCAGTCAAGAGGTTGTTAACGGATGTTGAAACTCGAACAAGCCAAAAACACAGAGTTCACGATTTCCGTACAATCGTCAATCTAAAGAAAGTGGTTGTTGTAAATACTTGATACAATGATACGTTGATTATAATAAAGAATAGTAAATTCATTTGTTTGGTAAGTTATGTGCAATAACTTCTGGATTAATTGCAATTAGAAAGTCGATTGCAAAATGAATTATTCATATCATATATTTGTTGCGAAGTGCGTCACCACTAGTAAAAGAAACATTGTATTTTGCACCTACGTAATAATGCATGTCTGTTTTGGTAATATGCAATTGTCCATTTCCTGACACGTGTAACGTGCACCATTTAAATTGCTAGTTTAATGATGAGGATATCTTACAGATTCTCGGGCAGTTCTAGTGGAATATCCTGACGATTCTGATCACATTTACGATCCCTACCGGGATATGTTTGATGATCGGAAGCGTGGAAAGAAGGTTCAACGAACACACAGTGACTTAACAGGAACCAAACGTAAGAAACGTGAACGAAAGTACGATTCTCCGTACGATCTGGAGAATCGTCCCAGCAACAAAGACAAAAGGGAAGAGAGTGACCGACGCAATAAGGGGTCTCTAGAAGGTCGTGTGCCTCGAACAGCTTCCGTAGAGATTCACGAAAGGCAATCACGTGATCATAAACAACGCGAGATGAAACAGAACATGAATGGTGTCAGAGACGATAAGGAGACGAAACCGGAAGTGAACGAACAAGAACTCTCTCAGACAGACAGTGCTAAATTGAGAGCAATGCAAGAGAAAACAAAAGACACCGTAGACAGTAAACCAATAACAACTGAATGGAATAATAACAAGGAGGAATTAAAACTAAACTTGCCAAAAGATAGTGACGACGAAGACGTTGAAGTGAAACGTTATGAATACAGTGGACATATACAGAGGGATAGAGAGAATTCTAGAGAAAGACAAGAGAACTTGAGGAATAAACTGAATGAAAGCACATTTGTCAGTGTGAAAGTAACACCAGACATGTATGAAAAGAATGGCCACGACAACCCGGTGTTCAGCGACGAGGGTCCAGTGTCTTCTCGGACACCCACTAGGGGCAGGAAAGAGAGATCTGACAGCAATACTGATGGTAAGTCTTCATGGCAAGAGATCTAATGAATGTCTGAATAGTCTGGCAATACCACTTTGATTGCAATAATTTTCAATGATTTTTTGAATTGTGTCCTGTGCTTCACTGATGATTCGGAAGTTACAGTATTTAAATGGAAATGATAAAGGAACAAAACCAGGCTTACTATACTTTATGAATACTGAAACGATACCTTTTTGAAACTATTTTTATTAAGTAACCATGAATCAGGATACCCTTTTCAAATCCTTTTTAAGAGGGGGGGGGGGGTATTAAAATTTTAACAAAAACAGTTGATAGAAATCATGTAGACAAATAATTCACCGTTGATTTCCTTGCTTATACTTTAACATTATTCCGGAACATGTTTCTTACTTTTCACTTCAAGTTCTCAGATCACTTTAAAGTTCTCAAATTGGGATGACTGCAGAAGATTATAAATTTTTTTAGATGATTTCTTTGAGAAAAAAATTAGCAAAACAAGACAAAGAAGGGGAAAAAAGATGTATACTAAGATGGGAGAAATTGAATTTCACCTCAAGTAATTATATATTAGTTCCAGATTTTCAAGAGAGTCAGGGAGATTTTTTAAACAGATATTTGATGTTATTTTTAAGTAAAGTTATCCATAATTGTGATCTATATAGTGCATGGCATGGATGTCGAGTGTAAAAGGAAGGGGATAATGCGCCTTTACTGCATAAGATTGATAACCAGTTAATATGTTAATACATGCACGTAAACAGTGACGCAAAATTGCAACATAGTCACAAAAAAAAGATATGTGTAATATGCACAAGTAAATATAAATTATTCCAGAGCTCAAGAGAGCAAGAAGGGATTATACTTATGACAATCTGAAATGATGCTTAGAATTTAAAGAGGAAGAGGAACTCGAGGTTTTAGGGAAATTATCTACTTCGCATTAAACAGAATAGCAACAGCCAAGTGATTTTACGTATATGCTTAGGCACACTTACTTCTTATGCAAATCCAATAATATTTAATAAACTCAAGAAGAGGACAATTGTTAAATGTGGTGTGAAGTATAGATAACATGGACTTCCTGTGTAAAAAAGGCGAAGCACCTTAAGATTTCATATTGTATAGGAAAAATGGAAGGGCCTTTTTATGTAAGTGTTGTGTAGGCGAGAATTTGTTAAGAAGACTATTCAGTCCTCAGGAATATTTAACAATGGAGACATTTTTTTTCTATCAAATCTAGACACTGGGTGTAATAAGCATATTTCAAGACAGATTTCTGTTTACAAAATACACACACTGAATACAAAGGAATTTGAAGTATATAATGCAGTGTCAAACTATCACTTGAAAACAAATAAAGTTACAAAAAACCCACCAATGCCTGATATTTTAAGAAAAGTTTTCTTGGAATGAAAAAAGTGACATGCTGTATTTAATTCTGTTGTTTAGGTAAACAAGTGTCGGCAGCTTTTGATTTTCTGAATAATTACCTGTCGGACGATGAGGGGACGGACTATCTAGGAAGTCGATCTCACTCCCCCGTACCATTGTAACACAGGTAAGAGAATTGGCCTGAAATGACTCCTGGCATTTAGACGTATAAAGTCTTAGAAAGAAAATATTAAATAATGCTATTAAAAAAATTCATATATCCGTTTCATAGTGTTTTTTTTATATCATTCAAAAGTTATAAAATGTAGAGGTATACCCTAATTCTTGTTGCTTTGCATTTCTGATTTTGAGTGTGAACACATACATGTTTACATGTTTTTCTTTACTTTTGTAGCAAAGTTATCATGATGCAGTTCTAGAATGAGTGGACTTTTTGGCCAAGTAAAGGTTGACTGTCTGCATTTGCAGATTATAGACTGTGCAAGAAAAGCTGGAGAATTGCGCGAAATCAGAAACGGTGAACGTGGATTTCTACAAAGAGACACGCAATGAATTTGTTCATAAGTTATTATATACCAACCCTGTGCCAAACAAGATTGCAAGTTTCTTGTCTTTTTTATTATATTTTCTTGACACAAAAATGCATCATCAACAAATTCATACCATGCAAATACAATAAAGTGAATTATTACTGAAAAGAAAAACTTATACTTCAGTTATTCGGAAACTGAACTAAGCTTGTTAAATTTTGTGTTTGTTGTTGAATGGTTGAATCTTCCTTTTATCTATCTCAATACTCAAAGAACAAAAATCAAAATTGAAAGTGTGTAAGGCTTTATGGTCGGCCGTTTTGTGAAGAATGACATGTACACAAAATTTCTGTGCTGTATGAATGATTTACCAGTATCATAGTGTGTGTTTGTCTGTGTTTGTTTGATTTTATATATGAATTTTTACTTCATCTTATTCTATTACAAATATCTTAAACCATGGATATCGGAAAATATTTTCTTTAATTTTGCATATAATTTTAGTGCAGATCATCTTTTATTTTTGTTATTATAAGTCATGTATCTTTTTTACTTTTCCAATTAATTGTTAATGCAACATTCAGTGAGCTTGTGCATCTGATAACATTAGATCAACATCTTTTAAAAATAAACAGTTTATCATATGAATGCATAATCCAGAAAAGAACTAATGAAAAAAAAAAATACTAACAAAAATGTAGAATGCATTGCTTCAATTTTTGTTCACGGAATCAACTGAAACTGTTCAGCGGTTGATCAAATTGCCACAATAATTTATACCTGTATTTACATATTCCATATGTATCAATTTTCATATATCCAATAAAAAGAATGTAGTACTGTATGCCATATTTGTATTTATTTTGTAATAAAGACAACTATAAATAAATGGAAAAGGTATTATTGTTTTTATCATATGTCTGAACTATGCTGTATATCCTTATGTGATTGTGCCCCTTGTATAAAGTTTGACTACTGAATGAAAATATTTGGAATCGATATTTGTAAGGATATTTTTACCGTCTTCCTTGGAAGACGGTACACAGAGTTGATGTATTTTACAGTCTTCGGACTATGCACTTCCTCTCTTTTGTGATTGGAAGAAATTTCATGAGGAGAAAATTTTCAATTATTTCATTGGTTGAAATGCTGTTCAAGGCTAGGGAAATTAATTTTTTGATGATCTAATTTTCGTACGACTTGACATTTTTTTTTCAAGATTTTCAATCGTAAAAAAAAAATGACAAAAGGAACAGAGGAAAATGAAAGTGATTAATTATAATTAACACGTTGGTTTTTTTAAAGTAATTACTCACAAACGTTTCTATATTTTCATATTAAACAGAAATGATCTTTATTGCATGTGTACAAGTTTTACAGTTTGTATTTATTCCCCCCCCCCCTTTGTTTTGCACTGTCTTTCTAATCTAGGTAGCAGAATCGGATTTTACGGAGACAGTGGAGCATCTGGTTGAACTTTCACATGGTAGGGCTAAAGTCAGTAAAAAACTAATGAAGAAATACAAAGCCAAGAAAAGCTCAAGAATAACACGAACTGCTGGGTGTAGGTCAGTTTACTGTTTAAGGTTATTGCTAAAGACGGCCAAGCTTTTTGAAAAAAAGCTCTACTTGCAATGACTGAATAGTTATATTTCCATAAATTCTCTCTCTCCCTCTCTTGAAAACCTTTCCACCTTTTAGCAACAAAATATATTTTGTCAAACGTTTCTCTATTCTTTGAGATATGGGAGAGGAATTTACTACTTTCTAAATTTACAACTTCTGAAACCTAAAGGTCAAAAGCACAATACTACAGTTTTTTCCAGAAATTCTAATACTAGTTTATGTACAAATGTATGTAAGTTAACACGTTCAGTATCAGATAATACACATCGTACCCACTGATTTTTTCCAATAGTCTTCATTTTACATAAAATGGGAATATTAAGGACAGATGACGCAAACAAACTTTTATCAAAAATCTTGAAAATAACAACTTGAGCCATGTTAATATAAGTAAAATGAATAAGTTTGTATCATCTGTCCTTAATTAAACTGAAAGTAAAGCTAGTTTACGTCGTGCCGATTTTATTACAGTAAGCAACCGGAGTAGGTTCGATAACTCAAAAATATGACTGTTTTTCTAAACAATGTACTAACTTTTGTTGTATAGTATACTTGAAGCAAAGTTTGATATCTTATGAAAACAAAAAAGTGTAAAAAAAAAAAAAAAATAAAAAAATAAATAAATGTTAATAAATAATTGCTATATTACTCTCAATATTGTAGAAAAGCAAATGCAGCTTTATATACCACAACCCAATTTTTGAAGTGATTGCAGATTCTTTAACACGCAATGCTCTTTACATAAAAATAGTTTTAGGGTTTATTAAAGATTAGATATAACCACCTATGAAAATCCATTTACAACAAATATAAATTTGCTTGAACAAAACCCCTAATATATCTAATATTTAACGTCAATTTCGATAATGTGATGTTCAGTTTTCGTAGAACGTTGTCAATTATCCCACAAGAGTTTATCTGTTTAATAACTCCGCCTTAGCTACTCCTAATTGCACTTTCGTACTTCAATTAGGAATTATTTATATACCGCCATAAAACAATATCACCCGGAACAATTCAACATACTATCCAATCAGATTAAGTTACGACAGGGGACCATTTTCTACCAAATAATGAAGATATACATGTATTTAGGGGGGGGGGGTGTTAGTTTCAGAGATTTTGCAAATCTCCTCAACTTTAAGAGCCTTTGGACCTCACCCTCTGCCACTTACAATGATTTTTCTAGTCATATCTGTTTGCATACAAATATTTTGGAATATTGTAATTTTGATGTATTATACCACTTATTGTGTTTGCAATTGGTTATAGTTACCAAACTTCTAATATACATGTTTGTAAGTTTAGACTTGTACATTTTGCTAATGCATGTGATTTTTACTTGGTCTCAACCGGTGTTTGCTTGTCAAATTTTGGTTTTTGTATATACTAGCTTGAAATCTATTAAGCCTTAATAAACAACAATTTCAACACATACATGTGTTAAGTTATAGTTTTCTAGGTTACTGTTCATTTAATTTTTGCTGGAAAGAGGAAGCATAAATGTATTTATCATATTTAGTGTCCTTTCAGACAAATTTCATTTTATCAAATGATCCCTACAACCAAAGTATACACATTGCAGAGTTTATTTGATAAAATAAAATATTTCAGAAAAAACAGTATGTAGGCCATAGAGACGTAAAGCAAGTAGAGGCAGCAGGATCCCCCCCCCCCCCAACACACTCACCCCCACCTCAGACATTTTGTGGTTTTGATTTACTACCAATTAAGCTATGCACGTGTTTATGACTATATTTTCAAACGATCTTTGTTTAATTTGAAACCATAAAAATATTGCCAATATCTGTTCAGAGTTTTCGATCCTTTCACTGGTGTGTGAAAGAACTGCAACTTTAGGTAGAGATCGTCTAAAATTAAATATATAAAAAAAATAATTGATTAGCTACGAAAGCCTAGAGGGGTCAAATAAGAAAATGAAAAAAAAAATTAAAAAGTCGTAATAACGAGATAAAAAGTCGTTATTACGAGATAAAAAGTCGTTATTACACTTTAGAAAGTCGTAATAACGAGATAAAAAGTCGTTATTACGACTTAAGAAAGTCGTAATAACGATAAAGAGTCATTATTACGACTTAAGAAAGTCGTAATAACGAGATAAAAAGTCGTTATTACGACTTAAGAAAGTCGTTATTACGACTTAAGAAAGTCGTAATAACGAGATAAAAAGTCGTTATTACGAGATAAAAAGTCGTTATTACGACTTATCTCGTTATTATGACTTTCTAAAGTCGTAATAACGACTTTTTATCTCGTTATTACGACTTTTTAATTTTTTTTTCATTTTCTTATTTGACCCCTCTAGGCTTTCGTAATTAACAGTTCATCAGTTGGTGACTAATTCTGAAAAGAGGGATATCACCTTTCTTTCACTTTTAAATGTTGGCAACCATGAATACCAAAAAAAGTTACTATGGAGAAAACTGGAAAACTCATACTTTTTGAAAACATGAAAGAAGATTCTTCATGATGTTATAGTAAATGGATGAACTTATGCTGTTAATTTTCTTACATTCTTATACAACTAGACAGAATTGCTAACGCATCACTAGTTTTGTTTTTTCTCGTTTGTTAATTGATTGCCTAATCGGCACTAGTGTATTTAAAAGTCATCTTTTCCAATATATTGGAATTGACAAATGTCTTATTTCATGAAAAGACCCTTAAATGACCTTTTTGCCCGAAAACGAACTTCCCGATGTGCACTGCGCACCGTTTTTGCCCAGATATAAAGTTGGTGATTACCGATGGTGGTCAGTAAGGTTGCAACAGAAACAAGTATAAAATCAAATGAAAAAATCGAAATAAAAGATACCACAGAGTCTGACACATCTGTTTCATATTTGGATATTTTACCAGAAATAGACGTTAAAGTCATATATGGCGTATTTTTTATAAGTTCAGACTAACTAAAATCAAAAAAGATCTTTCTATTTATTTTATTACTTTATATAAAGATAGGACTTTCCTGTAAATTACACAATTTAAATCAATCACGTTTCAAAGATATTAGAAATTTAAAACAATAACCGATTTATTTACCGACTCCGCATTTAAATAACAGACAGTTTAACATGTTTAAAGTCAATTTAACTATAAAAACATGAGATTATTCAAGTTCAAAATGGGTGAAAAATTTAAATTTGAATGTAAGTAACATATATCATGTTTATCTACACTCAATTTCGTATTTTTATTTTTTAGCTCAGATACGCCATATATAGCTTTAATGGTAACCTTTATAACAACAAAGCTTCATGATAAATGTGATGATTTCAACTTTTCTATCGTTAACTTCCCTTATTTATGTAGCAATATATCATTATCACCTGCAAATAGAGTTTATGACACCCAGTTGAATCGATACACAAGAGCATGCCCTAGGTACGAACAATTTCTAAAATGAGGCAAACTATTAACAAAGTGATGAAACAATAATATCACCAATCGCGTTTAAAGTCAACATTTCGCAAATTCTATGGTCGATACAATGACCTTGTCAGCAAATACAATCTATCATTAAGTCGAAGTGTTTTAGGTCATTATTTTCACTGAATTGTCTTTGGATTTTTCCGTTTGCCCGATCATGACAAGGAGCACACGGCGGATGTGACTGGTCGACAGGGGGTGCTTACTCCTCCATGATACTTGATCCCACCTCTGATGTTTTTAGACGTCTGTGTTTGCTATGCTCCAAATTTTTATTTCAATGGACTTTTGAGCTTGATTACTGTTCGTTATTTTCGTATTTCATACAGCGATTAACTATCATATCCTTTGTAGTCACCCAGTGCCCTTGTGTACATTCCCAGTCCATCCAACGTCCAGGTGCATCAAGCTTGCGGAACAATCTTGAAATTGTAGTGTGGTGACTACTTAATGCCATGGCTATCTATATAAACCATTTTGATGTTTGTTAATCTATATTTGCAACAATTTTTCACACAAAGATAGAATAATCTTTTAATTCTTATATTTATTTATTTTAAGTTCTCCAAAGGAACACCCTGCAGACATCATACTGACCACTTTAGCACGCTTTTCTAGCTAGTGTCAACGCCGCATACGGTGTAATTTTTTCCGAGTTTTTATTTAGTACAAACTTAGAGTACACAACACAAATTAAAAAATGGAAATTAATTCCTCCAAAAAGTCAATAAGTGGATTTTCATTTTTTCTATGAAATTTTTACGCTTCCAATTCAGTAAACATGGTGGTTATTTATCAGTTAAGA